CCTAACCAGATTTTGAATGTATCTGCTTTTGTCAATTTGAGTAGAATCAAGTGACGTTTAGTATGTTGGGTAGGTTGTGTTGTTTAGGCCACTATTTGTGAGTTTCCAAAAATCCTTTAGGTGTTTTTATGAGCCTAATTACGAAAAAAAGTCATCCCAGTTATTTCTCTGTAATTATGGTATCTAATTGTGTATTGTGGTTATTTCTGGGTTTCTTGTATTCAGTGTATTTTTAATAGTTTTCTACCACCTTTGATAGTTTTATTGTTTAATGAGGTGGCCAAGTATTGTAGTTTCTGTGTTGAATGTTTGCAATATTCGTATTTGCAGGTTTAATAGTGCACTCAGTGACTATACGACAGTAATTATATAAGTGTGAAGGATTATCAGTTCTAGTGATTACAGTTAGCGAAATTTAGAACCTAAAGTAAAAGCGTATTCAGCCTAATTAGACTTAATTGTTGTAATTATAACTAGTTGACGTTCAGATTGAGCAAAGTGTGGGTTAAGTTGAAAGTGCACCAGCTAGCTAGGTGACACTAACACTATATCCGACATGGAAGGAAGAAAATCTGGAGGCTATACGGATGAACATAAGCATATATCTAGAATATCGGTGGAATAGTTTTTATAACAAACGTGAATTGGACTGTTATCATCAATTAAAATAGCATTATGTCTTTCTAGAGTATTAGTACTAGTGCACCCAAAGGCTCTATCCTATTCTTACATCATCTGTTACAATAAAATCCCTAGACTAAGTAAGTACTTCAGTAAGGAATTTTATATTAGTATGGCTTTTGTGGAGGAATATATATATATATCGAATATCGCGAGTATTTTATAACTGTTTAAGCATAACATCAATGATAATGTTTTCATTAAGAGAGTCTATGATTTATACAGTAGAGATATCCTCCTACTTGGGAAGTTTGTGAAAACGATCTACTCTTATTGTACTGTACCCGCCAATCTTGAATTAATCTATAGGTTTTAATGTTTTCGCTATATATATAAATATGTGGTAATAACTTTGAGTCTTCTGCTAGGAGTTGTACTTCGTGCTTCTTAGAGGCAAGTCAACCCTGAACCTAGAGGACTGTGACAATACTAATTTAAGTCGATAGGTAAGCCTAGAATACAGAGAAAAGATTAGAAATTAGTTTTGTTGCATGTTTTTCGTAATTGAAAAGACAGTAGTTAATATATTATCTTTAAATCCTATTTGGAGTTGTTGATATTATTTTTAGCGCAAAACTACATAATGATCTATCTACGCTCTGTCCACCGCTGGGAATAAACCCCGGATTTTAGTACTGTAGGTCCAGAATCTTACTGCTGACTCACCAGGGAATTCCCTCGACTAAGGTGGTTATAAGATCATCAAGCAGGTTATTGAAGGCAATAACATTTGGTGTACATTTTGAGCTTTAACCTCGTGGATACTTCTGTGTTATAGATCTTAGCATGTATTTCAGTTTTCTAAATGATGGTTAAGGATTTGGTGTTAAATAGAAGAAATATACATTTTCCTATTTAAAGCAAGTGAAATTTGTGAAGGCTGGAGAGTTGTGTTGTTGTGATCTGAGCTTCTTATACATTATATATTTTTGTACTAGAAAATAATCTCGTTGTTTATGTACTTGTGAACAATATCATTGTTGGTCGTTGTAACTTTTATAATATTTGTAGGAGTATTTGTCTACTTTGATACAATCGTACCTACTATTGAGAACGATATGCCATGTTCTGCCAGGGCGTCCTTAATATCCTACAGGTCAACACTGAAATGGACCCACTAATTGTATTTAGCAACAAACGAACAAAATGAAATATGGATTTTGATTTTCTGGTCAATTTCGAATTAAAATCGTGTACCTTCTTTGAACTAGCCATTTGATACTTACATTATATAATTTCTTTAGCTAGGTCGTATATTGGAAACCTTTCTATCATGAACCACGATAGTGGTTCATAATAGGGATCGCAAGGAATTGCACAAAACCCTAATACAACGTTCGGGCAAAAAGCACCTTAAACAGTAAAGATTCAGTGTAAACAACCCTTAAAACCTTCACTGTTGACTGCTAAGGCTGTACACATATAAAAATGCACAAAAACATCATACATGTTAGACTTACAAGGGAAGGAAAATCCGCTCAAAACGGTACGTTTGTAATACTTCTTTTTATTATTACTTTATTGCCAGCCTACAACAAAAATGGCTTGGTATATTGCACCCAACCCTTTTCTAGAATACTAAATAAGGTACTGCGGAGGTCGTAGGGGCATTGAAAAGTCGATTTGTTTCTTCTATATTTTATATAAGCTAAAAAACATCTTAATTCTAGTGTAAACAATGTTATCATTACCCCTTGAAGTTAGCTTTCTTACAAACATCTGTTGTTCCTAAGGGCTATCTGTACTCTGCCCACCACAGAAATCGAAACCCAGTTTCTAGCTTTGTAAGTCCGCAGACATGCTGCTGTGCCACTGAGGGGCACGCAGCGTGAAACAGGAATTACCAGCCAATAAAAGACGAACATCAGATGACTGTAACATGTAGATATTCAATACTTTGTAGACTATACAATCGGTATCTTTAGGAAGCCAACCACTATATTATGTATGAAGTGAAGTAGTAAAAATAAATCAGTGCCCATAATATTATATTTTATTACGCACATTCGTATAAAAAATTACATTAAAAGACACGAGGGTTTATTTAAACCGATGTTTTAGACGTATATGTTTTATTTGAAAATGCTGCTTTTCTACTTGTAAAATTCTATACGTGCTTAGTGTGGGTTGTGTTTTAGTCTAGGTATATATTTGTCCATTCCTATGCATTATATGTAGAGAATTTAGTTACACAAGAACTATATTTTCAAACAATTCTCCATGACAATCTACAGTTGCAGCTTAACATTTTACATCTCGAACTAATGCGATCAAATAGTCAATAGCTACAATAAATCATCATGAATCGTATCAGCTAACTACTAGCTATGTTATTATCATTACAATGTATAAAGTTAGCTACCACATCAAGTAATCCTTTGCCCGTGGTTGAGCCTAAATAAGCCCGCAAACAAGATAAATAAAAATTTAAGAATTTAAAAACCTGTAAATAGGGATCGTAAAAAAAGTAAGCAAGTAAGGCTGGAGATGCTGTAGAAATTATTTACTCAAACTACAAATCCATATTCTGACTCCACCAAATGTAATTCTAGGTAACAGCATGGAGCCAAAATAGGGGTTTGTAGTTTTAGTAACTAATGGCTACAGTATCTCTAGTTGTGTTTGTTTACTTTTTACGATCCCTATTTCCATGTTTTTGAATTCCCAATTTTTATTTATCTTGTAATTGTTGTGTTTATGTGGTATGATTTTACCGTTGTTGGGTTGTGTTTTTGATGTACTTCTCGTGTTTAACATAAGTAGGTACAGGGTTTTTGTCAGGATCTCTACCGTGTACGTTCCCGATTATTAGTGTTCGGTGTTTGATTACGTGAATTTTGAGGTATCCCACTCTCCCTGTCAACATTAGCATAGGCAAAAACAATAACTCGAAGCTGTTTTGATTTTAAATCTGAGTCACTATAGCTATAGCGTTAGAAATTTAGCTTTGCTAAAAAATATTGGTTAATAATTCACTATCAGTTTAAAAACTTAATGTTTCTGAAAGGCTGCTATGGTGGTTGTTGATTTCTCTTTCACATTATAAATTTTTCAATGCTTTTTTCCCCTTATTAGTTAGTAGTTCACTTATTATTTATAATATGTCTATCTAAGTTTTTACCGTTTGTTTCTAATAATTTGAAACTTCTGGGAGTTACTCCTTTTTTCATTAACAAATATCGGCGAAACACCAGGATCCTTTAGACTGCAAGGATGCACACCAATACAGCCTCCACGAGTTTAATAGTGGGGAGACAAAAGAGTTTTAAGGTTAGAGAAGCCTGGAAGATACATTAAGAAACTAAGTGCTAAAAAGAGAGATTGGATAGACCTTTGTTTTCCACTAACTGAAGACATTCTATCCTGCGGGATGTAACTTTTACTGAACTATTTAGCGAAACGTTTAGGCGATGCAAACAAATGTCAGAGGTGGCGCCCCTTGCCTGCTGCGACCGATAGCCACACATACTTTAGGTTCGTGTCTAATGGTTAAAAAAACAAAAAACTAACATTACAAGAAATTTCTTTTTTTTTTGAATGACAAATCTATGATTACCATTTACTACCTTTTAAAGATTGGATAATTACAGCATTGGATGATTTACCGTCGAATATCCAGTATGATTGTGCCCAACTGACAGTCTAAAGATATACCTAGTTTATAATGCTGTTCGTAAATATTTAAGGAAATTTTTAATGCCTAGAGAATTTTTTTCTCAGTGGCAGAAACCGAATTTTAATTAGATTATACGTTAGGAATTGGCGCCTATTTAAATTTTACAGTCTTAAAGCCGCGAATGAAGGCTCAATAGAGCGAGGAAGCCTGTAGAAAAATCAGAGAATACACGAAACTGTTGGGACATGTAGGATTGGTTTTAGGATAACATTAATAAAACTCATCATAAATAGATTACTTTTGTTTTTCGTAAGAAAAAGTTTAACATGTTATTTTGTTCAGACTTTTCACGGGTATGCAGAAAATAATCATATTAATACACAACATGTGTAGATGTATAAACTTATGATCGGTCTTTAGTGCTGTAGGGAGAATTCTTTATTCTTTCTGAAAAGAACTTCCGATATGCGCTTACACTAAAAGACCATAACAAAAGTCACTAGAAGTTTTGTAAATAATTTAAAAAGTTTATTCGACAACATCTATACATCAACAAGTGTATTGTACAGAGATCAGTGAAAAAACAAAACAAAAAACTTAACTTTGTACAAAAATAGTTTACAAAACAGAAAACATCATTTCTTCAATAAGACTAGAAAATACACATTGGCAGCAACATAAAGAGAAATTATCAATATCTCCCTTAATACACAGTAACAGGAATATTTGCATGAGACTTAAATGCATTCCAGTTAAACCCTTTAGTACCATTGGGACCATGAGGAAGCCGAATCACTCCTTCTGGAATTAACTTAGAGTTGTGGACTTGAGAAGGTGTACCATTTTCTCGCCTTCGCTGTATCCAAGAGTTAGTAGATGAAGTCAGATATTTATGTTCACCATTTTGAAGATTGCTGTTATTTCGATGGAATGAGAGCCCAAGAGTTTGTTTCTGCTGTTCTTTGCCAACATGATGACCAATCCACTCGCTGGACTTCGGCGATGACGACAAATAGCCGGAGCTAGAGCTAGAACCAGTGTCCGATCTCTGCCTCGGTCCAATGGAGTAGTCCGTTTCCGAGCCACTACCAGCGATTTCGTTACTTCTCAACTGTTCGATCCTATTGCGTTTTTCCTTTTTTCTTTTATCGTTACAGTCAGATTTCTTATTGCCCTCGTCAAGAGACTTCTTAGACTTTTTACTTACGAGTGGAACAACACGCATAGATCGCCAGTCAACGTTTGTGCAGTCTAATTCAACAGTCGCTTTCTTTGCAGCTTCGACTTTTACAAATTCAACCACAGCACAAATAGCAGATTCTACTCTAGAAAGGTGACATTTGATATCCGATGGAATAGTGCTACCAGGCTGTAGAATCCTCACTTGAGAAACGTCACCACACTTAGAGAATAGTTCCTTAACATGTTCTGCCGAAGGCTGACCTAAAGGCAAATTGTACGCTACGACACTCCTGGCAGATTTATCGTCATTCGTTGGCAGGTAATTTTTTAGTTTGATTTTAGTGCCCTCGGTGTTCAGATCCAATTTTTCCGACTGTCGCAAGCTGTACGCAATAACTTCACAATCTTTTGATAGACGCTTTACTTTTCGAAACGAGGCAACTAGCTTCAGACTGACATATCCTTGTTTATTTCGTTTAATATGTTTTAAAAGAAAACTATCCTTCAAGAGGTTTTCGTTCGAGAAATAATATTCAACTTCTTTGATAATTTTATTTACCAATTCTTGACTGGGAGCTTCGAAGTTGTCTACGGGCTTAAAGTTATCTATATCATTGTCACTTTCCGGTTGGTCGAAATCCTGGGCTGTATCATTCTGTGCTTTTTTGCTGCTACCGGTTATTATCAGGTTGTTTTCGTCGCACTCTGCATCAACGTATTCTTCACTATCGGAAGAACTAGTACTATCAATCTGATATTTCACCGTCACTTGGTCTGTGCTACTAGCTAGATCAAGATTACCGGAAACAGACAAATCAACCATCATAGTAGACTGATGTTAATTCTACCTACACAATCTTCACAATAACACAATCGTTAGTAATTATTCCTTCGCAGACCTATATTTATAGTGAACCTAACTACATGTAGTCCCGCCTAGAAATGATGTCACCTTATTGCTGATTGGATGTGCGCCATATGCTTGTTTCATATACCTAAGAATCACGTGCATGAAATCGAGGTCACTGTCTTAATCATTTTATTTGCATACACGAATTAGAAGGGTTGATTATTTTAAAAGCAAGCAGTGTAGATAAGACACGTAATGCTTTACAAATATGTATATATATTGCAAAATTAAAATATTTGCTACCTAATAATGTTTGTAGAAAGACACATGGTCACGAGGAAAACAGCATGACTCATCACATTGCGTCATGGGTAAAGCGGGAATAACATTTTGCAGCTGAACATTCTCTAGTTAGCCTACTACATGCCAAATGCAGGTATAAACCGATTTACTAGAACATTTTCGTTTCTAACTAAATGTTTCAGCATAAACGAGAAATAATTTAATTTCAAAGAAGTATAATATCTTGAGTTAAAAAGTATTTTATTCTTCCAGTCAGAGAAATATGTTTTGAATTTCTTTGAGTTTGCCTATTATTTTGAAAAAGTGTTGTTGCACTTATTAGGAATTTTAGAAAGTATTAGCTCTGGTTTTCATTAGGAAGTGTATAAACATATACAAATCTAAATAAGTCATTATAAGGGGATTGTGTGACACATGTCTCACGAGAGAAGTACACACATGTGATTCTTCACATCTGTCTAGCTACAGTGGGATAATTTTGATACTAGAAATTCGAAATGTTTTATATATTTAAATATTGTGACAAAGAGAGACAAATGTCAGTTGACGTTAATATTATATACATATTGGTTTTCATTATGAAGTGAGTACGTCACCAACTGCCGTAGTAGTGCTTTTTTTTTGCTCAAGTTACTAGTGATTTTATTGGTTTGGATATATTTAACCGTATGGAAAGCTTAATATTTCTCTTTGACACAAAAAATATAAATGAAAAGGATGGATTTGGAAATATAGAAATGAAAAAACTAAAGCTACTTGTCGTAGTCTCGAGCTCAACGTGTGGTTTTAATTTACAGTTTGTTTATTTTATACCAAAACCATATTGGACTATTTGCTGTCTCCACCGCAGAGAATAAAACCCCAGATTTTAGCGTTTTAAGTTCGTAGATTTATCACTGTTCCAGGGACTAGTTTACATTCACAACTAAAGATAAGTGAATTGATAAGGATATAACTATGATATTAAGAGTGGTAGTAAATTATTAAGAACTATGTTTTATGAACATAGCTTATTTTTTAAAAACTGTAACATAAATATAACTCGTCATATTAATTTTGAATGGCAATGTTAATGTATACATATTGAAAATGAGATGGCTCAAATCAAAGAAATTATAAAAGCAAAAAAAAATTAACGACATAAAATTCTAGCTTTGTTAGAAAAAAGCTAAAAGAAGTACACAATGTTTCATGAGTAAAATATTGATTGCTAGACCTAATTGGAGCAAAATTACATGAGAGTTCCTAACCAGTGTTATTAAATATCGTTGGGGCCCCAAAGAGGTTGGGGGGGGGGACAAGGAGACATGTGAACTTGATCCAAACAGTAAGATAGGAGTTCGCTCGTTGTTATATGCTGTTTGAGTTGTTTCAATACATCTTATTTGAAATTTTGAATAGTTTAATTCTATTTCATAGTCCTGTGCTATTCTTTCAAGTAATTAATAAAAAAAAGACTTAGAGAAAAAGATATGTTGATGACAGATTCGTATAGTTCTTTCAGCGGTTGCTACCATTTTAAAGCAATCATATATTATTGTTAAAAATACTACTCAAACAGATGTGTAGTTTTTCCTCTGTCTTGAACAGTCAACTACCAATGACATAAACTTCCCGTTTGCGTAATACGCGTTACACGGAAATCAGCAAGGTTTCACATACACGTCAACACCGCTTTCTTGGAACAGCCACGTGCCTTTTTCTACGCTTCTACTACAACATTACAGACGTATGACGGTACAACGGAATTATTTTATAAAGCTCGCTTTATCACCATAAAGGAAAAAACATTATAAGCATTATTTCTCTAAACGATGTACTTAGCTGATAATAATTATTAGCTTATATCAAAGCATACTTAACCTCCTAAATTTTAGCATATTTGTTGTAACTAGTTTAATTTAAGAGTTTGTTTCTCAATTTTTCCACAGAGGGTTATTTCCAAATTTTGAACTGACAAAGTAGATATTATTGGACGAATGTTATCGGCATTAATTGCTACATTTAATATATTTAAAGTGTAACTAAGAAGAAAATGTAATTAGAGAATATATTAAAGAAATTAAAGTTTAGGAAATATGCTAAAATTTTGGAAAAATATTTTGGCTATTGTTTACATAAATAAGTTTTGTTTTCTGTGTAACAACGCAATCATACTTTTGATCAGTTATTTCTTCAAATTTCACTCAAGTCTTTTTCTTTGTACTACCTTAGAACGGTTGGCAAGTCTAAGCTTTCATGTTAGGCTTATGTTAATAGTGAATTTCAAACTTACACAATAACCATAGGTATGTCGAAAGTGTGAGAGCTACAACGCTAAAATCTGGAGTTCGATTCCTTGCGGTGGACAGGGTCAGATAGCCCATTGTGTAAAGAAAACAACAACAGCTTGGGTTTCGTCGGTTTATTGTGGTGTAGAACTGAATTCATCATTTAGAAAAGCAAAAACACTAGACACATCATAGCTTTCATGTGATGGTTGTGTAACGAATTTGTTATTATATATTCATTTTAACATTGACGTTG